AAAAAAAATCAACAATTTAGGCTGGGCCTGGTGGAACACACCTGTAGTCCTAGCACTCAGGAGGCGGAGTACAGGAGGATCACTGCAAGTTCAGCGCAAGCCTGGGCTATGTAGGGAGTTCAAGTCCACCCTGAGCTACATAGCAAGACGCTATTGCAAAAAAACAAAAACAAAAACAGTCCAGGGATGTAGCTCAGCGGTGCAGCACCTACCAAAGCCCTGAGTTCAAGTCCCAGAGTTAATTAATTGAATATTCCATCTAACAGATATGGTAATTACACACAAATGTTGCAAAATGTGACAATCAGAATTTGGGGTCACACTCAAGCTGTCCTGAGGTCTGTCATTCAAAGTAGCACATACACATGCAGACCTTGCTTAAAGGGGTAAACATAAGAGCTCTTCCTTGAATGTCTTCAGTCATGACCGCCTTGAGTTTCCCTGCACAGCATTAAACAGAATTAAATATCTCTGCGGTCCTCTATATAGGACGTGTCAGAACCTGGTTCCTGCTTAGGTCTCCCAAATCACTGCTCATCCCTTAATACAGTCCGACTCCCAGCAGGTTTTCGAGCTCCCAGGGCTCACGTTTCTGGGCCTCACACTCGTCCCGTTCCCGTCTCGTTTTCCTCTTCTCACCCAATGCACCTCAGCCACACCAGCCTTCTTTGCCTACTCAAAACCACAAAGTTCATTCCCTGCTTAAGACCCTCGAAGCAGCTCCTCTCTCTGCCTGATGGGATTAGCATGAGCTTCCCACAGTTGCCACTCAAACCTCAGCTTAAATGACACCTCCCACTCGCCATCCTAAAGTAGCATCCTCACCCCCCACCACTGTGCCTCTGCTCTTCTCCCACAGCAACCTCACTACCTCAGACTTCTCCAGTCCGATGCCATCTCTCTCCTCTATGAGAATATTAGAACTATGAGAAAAGAGATCCTGTCTACTTTTTCCTCACTACTTTATCTTCAGTACTGGAACAGTAGTAGCACTTAGTAGATATTCAATTAATATGACTAAAGAAGGAGGTAAGTAATTAAAGTCACTCCTCTTCCTAGAACATCCCTCTCCAAAATCTCTCCCTCATCCTTGAAGTTACCCAAATTATCTGATTTAAACATCTCTTGTCCCTGTCTTCTAATGTCTTCTCTAGGATGCCATTAATTATATGTATTACAATTTTTTATTACTTATCTATTTCCCCATCAAATGCAAAGTCCAAGTTGGCCATTTCTGAAACACATACTGGGTCTTTACCATCACACGTAGCACTTTTGTGTGATTAGAAAGAGGACACCCAGCCTCCAGGCAGGAATTCAGCCCCCACTCTCCCTTTGCCGAGGAGCCACATACAGTGTCATGTGTTTAAATGAGTGAAGGAGTAAACTTCTTGTGTCTGAGCAGCTTTCCCGAAAGCAAAGAAACTATGGTGGGGAAAGCATGTTAGTGAAACTGACAGGTATCAGCAGCTCACACTGTCATTGTTACACCAACCATAGCAGGAAAGGTTAGTCTTGGCACTTTATGGATGAAGAAATGGGTTCAGAGAGGTTCTGCAACTTCCCTGAGGTTGTACCATGGGTAAACAGTGATCTGTGATTAACACCCAGGCCATCTGATACCAAGGTTGTCCTTGGCCTGCCTTCACCACAAGGCGAGCTGAATGCTTGTTCCCAGGAGTCACGGGTTCATATGCAGTTCTGCTAGAAAAGCACTGCGTGGGTGAAATCTTGTCCTGTTTTCCTTTCTTTTACTGTCCCTAGACCACTGGTGTCAAAATGCACAGGGTGTTCGATGGTTGACTGCCTGATGATTATTGGACAGATTTCTATTTTTTTGGACATCTCTAAGCTTATATAGAATATATCAAATAGTAACGTTATTCGAACAATTTTTTAAAAATAATCACCACCTGTTAAGTTTCAGGTTTCATTGTTATCTTAACATGTTTGCCATTTTTGTTTTATTACCAAGTCTAGGAGACCAGCTTGAATCCACACTGAGCAGGCTTTAGATACTGATTTGGCTTATAATTTGGCTGTTGATTATGAGTCACTCTAAGGACTAAGAGTAAACTGTTAATGACCTTTTGGCTGGTTTTTGGAAAGAGACTTCCCAATGGTCACAATTGAGTCTCAATGGTCTATGAGGTTTTGACTTCTCTATACAAGGAACCACTGTAGCTAAGTAGTTGTAATTTGGTGCAGCTGTTCTCTAAGATCAAACTTTAGCTAAGATTATGTAGGTAGCCTTTTAGCTATGACCCACAAGATAGCACTGGTGCCTTGTTAGCTGTTACCTATCCCTTCACAAGTATACACAATTACTCTCTTTTTCCAAGCCTGACTCATTAGGGCATTAGTTCTGCTATTCTTTACATCTGTCTGCACCCCCGCTTGCTCTGTTGTATGATCATAAATATTGACTAATCCAGAGCTTGTGGTCTTAGCCAAGGCAAAGCTAAGATTGGGTGATCTTTAGCCAGGAGAGAACTAAAGATCAATTCTCTCCCCCACCCCAAGTAATAAACTATTGTTCATATTTTTTTTCATTATTCTTTATTCCTTGCGCTTTGTATACTATTCTCTCATCCCCTGCTGTCTCCTCATCAGGCGACTGGGCGTCCCCCAGTGACTGGTCAGGCTGTCAACCTGACAAATGGTCAAGTTATCATCAGTAACAACCAAGAATGATGATAATGCAACATGCTAAATTCGAGAGCCTTGTGAGGTTAAGAAAGGATATCATGGCAGATTTTGCTAGAACGGATTAAGTCTTGAAATATATTTTGTTTGCCTTTTTTCTTTCTGTCATGCAGGAAGGAGACTTGTGGGTGTGTGGTTTTCAGTTTTAAAATTGCATGTACTTTCTCTAGCCAAATTTCTAGCAAGAATGATATTCAATTGACTTTTAAAACAAGAAAGTTGTCTATTTCACAAAGCTGCAGCAATATCAATAATACAGTCTGAGTCTGCTTTAGAAGAGTACTGTGAACCATAAGTTCCACAATAGGTACAGCAAGACAGTGGTGTTTATCACATTGTGCTGGAAAAGCTTTTCATGATAACAGCACAAACATGGCATCACCTCTGACGATAAAGAAGGGCATTGGCCCTTTTCGTTTGGATATCCTTTGACACTTCACACCAAACAATCAGAATCAACTGTTCTGTGTTCTGCACTGACCGTTCTACCTTATTTCCTACAACCAGCTCTCTTCCTAGCTTTTCCTTTTTGTACCGGGGATTAGATTCAGGACCATGGGCTTGCAAGGCAACCTTGGTGCCACTGAGCTAAATCTCCGGCCCTCTTCCCAGTTTTTTCTCTGTACTAGCACCAGTCTTCTGGGCAAATGACTAGAGAATCTTAAATTTTAGAAAGACTTGAAAGATGATCTATGTAAACTCCTGTATCATTTAGGAAATCTGCTGACAGCATGATTGAGATCTACATAGCTCTCTAACTCAGCTTTCCAGGTTCAAATCTGGACATAGAATTTACGTGGAAAGCAGATAGCCTACTACTCAGCACAGAGTAAACAACGAGAACTAGCCATTAATATAAGCCAGCACACATTTGTTCATCCTTTCTCAAACTCTGACAGGCTGGGAATCGTTAATTCTTGGTTACCTCATTCCAACATTGTGCAGTGGATCATTTTTAGAAAATCCTCATATTCCTTCAAGAAACATTTGTCACGTGCCTGCTATGTACCAAGGTCTGAGCTAGAACCTGAGGAAAAAAGACAAACGGGAACGGGGCATCTGGCCTCATGAAGACACCAGTTTAGCAAGAGCTTCACACCAGATGGCCCGTGGTTTTCCTTCCCTCTCGCCAATGTGGAGGTGATACTCTTACTTTCTCCTAGTTAATCAGCTTCCACCACCCACTTTCTAGGATGCAATGAGGGAAACGTTCATCTATGCCTAAGCAACTGGTAGGTTCTCCAAGGAGCTTGGTCCTCTTTCAGAGCAGCTCACCTTGCCCCTGTGAATCTCCATTTCCTTATCTGAAAATCGGGAGCAAATTTTTGCCCTATTGAGGTCACTGGATTGTCATAAAAATAAAATAAGGTCATTATGCAGGTCTTTGTAACCTACCACTACTCCATAATGATGAGATATTCCTTTTTTAAAACCAACAAAATAAATGATTCCTAATTATGGAATTTCAGACATCAGCAAGAAAAGGAAGATCTTTTGGCAGGGAGTTGATGTAAGGGGAGAGAGAGTAAAATCACCCAGCACCTAGATCAGAAAACAGCAATCCCACACTGAGTCCAGCAACGCATACAGCGTTGCTCCTGCAAATCTCGTTGGTGACCACATCCAGGTTTTAGATCCAGAGAGATCTCAGCCAAAATGCCTTAAAGACCACTTACTCATTTGGTGGCTTCATGCAAATTCCCTAATCTAAGCTACTGCTTCTTTGTAAAGCAGATTCCCTCTTGTTGGGAATTCAGAATAAGAACTAGAGATAGAGAGGCTGAATTAGTCTTTTTGACCAAAGAATAAAAAGCAGCTATTGTCTGCCCACTATGGACACGAAATAATGAGAAAGCCGGTTTGCAGAGGATGTGCAGAGGAACAGATACACAGGATGAACTACCCAACTCCCCTTGGCCTTTTACTTCCAAGTGGCAGAACTAGGAGAGATTTAACTGAAATTGTGCTCTTAGATTCCAGGGACACCCTTGAACTTCAAAGTGAACTCTTTCTTTATGCTTATGTTAAATCAATTTAGTTTCTGAAGCCAGAGTAGGTGATAGTTTCTTCCCCTGCTTTCTGGATCTAGTATATCTTGGTGTGCTAGGAAAGACACTTGCAAGTAAGACTTAAAAAGCTTATCTTTTACTCTCAGATGAAAGGCAATAAAAGTAGCAACAGATTCTCCAATATTTTGGAGGCATGTTAGCATAATTTTTAAATTATGGAGAAGGTATACACTGCCAAATTTCACTCATCATGTGTAATATATATTGTGGAGAAATCCAGCCAAAAGAATTCTGAAAGACACTTCAAAAATCTAAGCCAAACAGAACTGACCATATAAAACTTAACATTTTGAATTATTTACATTAGATAAGTCTAAAATTATAATTATTTTAATAAACACAAAAGAGAAAGCCAGGTGTGGTGGCTCGTGCCTATAATCCCAGGCTGAAGCAAGAGGATTAAAAGTTCAACTCCAGCCTGGAAGACTTAGCAAGAGTAGATTTCAAAATAAAAATAAAAAGGGTTGGTGATGTAGTTCAGAAGTAGAGGGCCTGGGAAGTAGGTCAGTGGTGCTGCACCTGCCTGGCAAGCACACAGTCCCAATGATCCATGATACAAAAACAAGTTAAGCCCTCCTGGGTTCCATCCCCAGTGGCGGGAAGGGGAAAGGGTGGGAGAGATATATAAACATTTGAACAAAATGCCAAAAGACTGATAGCTTTATTAATAAGCATTTGGTAAATATTTTTGATTCCACTCAAGGAAGGCTCTTATAATTAATTTGTTGTAGACGCCAGGGAATGCCCACCCTAGATCCACTTTACCCCCTTCCTCATTCTCAGAACCCCGATTTTCTTCATCTTGCCAATACCTTTGAGAGGCCTTGTGTTTCAAGGAAGGCTGGCTGCCACCTCGGCTGCAGGAGTTGGGCCATGATCGATCCTTCCTATAAATCAATGGTTGGTTAGACAGGTGCACAACATGATTTTAGCCAATGAGGTGAGAGTTGAGAGTTAAATGGCATAGGAGAAATATTTCTCCTTCCCAAAAGAGATACAAATGGAGAAACGGTCTTGTCTTTCTTTGGATGTTGTCATTTGTGCCCACAGGGGGAAGCATAGGTAACACACCAGGAATGGCAAAAGGGTTAAAAAAAAAAAACCCAGATGAGGTCTTAGAGTCACTGAATTAAACAAGTATTACCTCCGCCACATCCAGAGCACATATGAGAAAAGGTAAATGCCTTTCATGTTTAAATCAACTTTAACTGGAGGATTCTGTGACTTGGGGCTGAAAGCATCCCCACTGTCTTACTTTCTTCATTGCTGGGACAAAATACCCAACACCCACAAGTTAAAGAAGGAAAGATTTATTTTTAGCTCACAACTTGTAGAGGTTTCAGTCCACAGTCAGCTGGCTCCAAGGCAGGGTGGTATGGCAGAAGGGGGCAGGGGGCATCGCAGAGGAGAAACAGCCCAAGGCAGGGTAGTGGAAAGCTGAAAACAGTGAACCTCCCTTTCCCCTTTATTCAATTCAGGCTACACCTATTGGTTGGGGCCACCCACACCCGGAGTGGGGCTTCTGTCTTCGGTAAATCCATTCAGCCATACCCAGAACTACACTAAACCAATTGGTGGATTAATCTAGTATCACACACCCTTAATCCGAGTATCACACACCTATGATCCAGCCACCTCCTAAAAGCTATACTTAGGAGTGCAAGAGGCTCTAGGGGGACATCTAGATATAAACCAGCGAATACTGTTCCATCTAACAATCTCTTCAAATGAGGGTATCATTTGGCCATTTCTAACACTGTCATTATGTCTACAGAATGAGTCCAATAAAAATTGTCACCAACTATTCCTCTACCACCCTTAAAAGTCCCATATGTTCCAAGAAGTCTTTGAAATCCTTGCTCCTGTCATCTGCTGTTTTGTACATAGAACACACCAACATAGAGCCACTGCCCACTTTATGCCTCCTCCGCAGAAGTCTGTCCAAGGACACCCTGTTTTTTTTTTAAAAAAGCTCCTATTTGGAGAATTGTCTTCGCTTTGCACCCACTATTATCACATATGAGTTTAGAGAGCTTTTTTCACTCTCTTTCTCCATCTTTAGCATTCCTAATGAAGAATTTTCCATTCCCTTAGTGGTGTTTAACGGGGCTTTTGTTGTTGTTGTTTTGTTTTTGTATTAATTGGCAACAGAAATTTTTTTAAACTAAAAGATCTTTAAATGGAAGGAATCCCTTTTGGTGAGTGGTATCCTAGGTAGCTAACTTTCATTATGCTAAGGTTGATGACTCATGAATGGTTAGTTTCCTTCTAAACAAGGGCTGTTATGAAAGGTGAGTCATGGTACCTTCTCTATATTCCCAATACTGAGGGAATAAAACATACTACACCCACATGATAATAGAGTTAATTCAATATAGGATATGGCTGTTACTTCCTCCAAGGTTGTTTATTTGTTGGCTTGATTTTCAGAGCCTTGGCTTTCTGGTATGGGTAATAGAGGTATCTACTGGTCCCAAATTGTTTCCATTCATGCATCTGTTCAAACAGATTTCTCTTTGTCTCCTCATCCTTTTTCTTACAATGCATTTTAAGAAGCCCTAGGCTGATAGAGGAACTCTAAAAATAGGAAGTGAACCAACAAGTTTTATGCTTTCTTTATATGCTTAAGGCAATATTCAGGGATGTTCTTTCCCCGAATGTTCTTGTTCTTCCAAGTTCTACCTTCTCCCCAGAGCCCTGTGTATTTCTCCCCAAAGGTATACATAGCATTCCAACATCATTTTCATACTATACAAGACTACAATACCTACCTACATGTTTGCTTTTAAATAAGATAGTATTTTTGCCAGCTTGACTTTTTTTCTTGTGATATTATTCATTTTTTTATATTTGTCCCTTCTTTTTATTTTACTTATTTAGTTAGTTCATTTTTGCAGTGCTAGAGATTGAATCCAGAGCTTTGAGCATGCTAGGCAAGTACACTGCCACTGAGCCACATCCCAAGCCCTTGTTACTGAAACCAAGGGCTTGGGATGTAGCTCAGTGGTACCAGTGCCTGCTTGGCAAGCGCAAGGTCCTGAGTTCGATCCCCGGAACCAGAAGAAAAAAAAGTGGACTCAATAGTTATCACCTGACACTTTGGAGAGATACGACTAATTAGTTAATGGGCTAGTTCGAGACTGCTGAAAAATAACATAAAATGCAATCCCCAGCTTTGAATTTCACCCTAAGCCACAAAACTCCATATTCAATCATTGACTTTTCCTTCACCATCCCACAGACTCCACAAATTCAACAAATGAACAATTTATCTTCTCTCCCCCATCCCACTACTACCTGATTTGCCTTTGGTGTTACAGATCATAGTTAATGGCTCTACCATTCACCTCATTATCCAGCCAGAAACCTAACCACATCCACACATGAAAACGTTTCATATCTAAAATATGCCTAGACTCTGTCTCCTCCTTTCATTTCCCACTAATAATTATCAAGTGGACTATGAGCTCACTTTCCCACTTTTCACCCAGCTCCAAGTTATAGATCTCCCTTAAGGCAAACCCAATCAGCATCTCCATGGAGACTTTAGTGAAAGGAACTGTACTTTCTGGTGGGGTCTCTAGTGCCTTGGAGAGATTTCTGTCACAGAGAAAGCAAAGCCTTCAGTGGTTAAAAGGTGCATTTTTCTGGACTCGGACAATTAGTATTTCAACCCTGGCTCCACCAATCACTGGACGCAAGTTACCAACCTCTGTGCTTCAAATTACTAGAGATGATACAATGAATTAAATAAGATAATATGTGCTAGCATTCAGCACATGCCTAGCACAAGGTAAATATTCAATACGTGTAAGTGGTTATTACAGAATTATCTATGACTTTCATTAATTTGTTTATATTTTTCTTTACTAGGCTTCGAGTTCTTTGCATCTAATCCATCTTTGTAATGCAGTTCCTAGCACCAGCCTGGAAAGCAAGGGACACGCCATACCCATCTTTTAAATGGAATGATCACTTTGCCGCTTTACTCGGAAGCCTTCACAGGCCTCTTGCCTGTAGAAGAAAATGTTCACACTTTAGCACGATTTGTGAACTTCTGAAATCTGAAGCAACTATTCAGCTTTGGCCTCTCCAACCAATCAAGATCACTTGGAATTCCCCCAACAGACTCCTCTTCCCAGCAGAAATACCTTTCCAGGCCTCTTCCTCAAACCTGGTGAATGTCTTTCGCTATTCAAGACCCAAAGGCAGTCTCTATTCCTTGGCCATCCGTCCTATCCCTTTTACAGGTAGCCACCAAGTCTAAATACGGACCTGCGTGGGACACTGCAGTGAGCCCCAGGCCTTCGACTGGACCCTTCAGATCTCCAGTGCACACCCGGACTTTCTGCACTCTTCCACACCCGACTCTGTGGGTGGCCGTGACAAGCCAATCTTGTAAATTCTTATATATTTGTACATCTTGTACTAAAATCCGTTTCTCTAGTAAGCATTGACTGGTGCGGTCAACAAATATTTCTTGATCACCATTGTATAAAACCAGCAAAACTGCATCCATTTAGCCATCCATAGTGAGTATTGTTAACATAACCCCCTCCCTCTTCCCACAATCACTCTCGTCCCTGATGCTTTTAGGCTGGAGGGGTGGGAAGAACCAGGACACCTGGGCATGTGCCTTGGCGATCACATACTGCATTTATTCCATTCAATTTTCATTCGTGGCTAAAACATGTCTGCTTTGAACAAACACTCCCATTTTCTAAAAAGGAGAATGATCTGCTTCTGTCAGCTCACTGTTTGATACCTTCAAGAAGAAACACATGGAGAATAAGATGCATAAAATATTTCAGTGTTGATACACTGAAATATGAATGCTCATAGTAGTAATAGCCAATTGAAGCTTAGTAGAAAGCTATTATCTAAATTGACTAGATTAAATATATTGCTGTTAAGGTCATCATTAATGTCTCCTGGCTGATGGGACTGATGGATGTGGTCTTAGTCAGAACATGTAACAAATTTTACAAGTGAACACACACACACACACACACACACACACACACACCCCTGGCAGTAAATTTCCACTGGCTCAGCTTTGAATTGGTAAATTCCAACTCGGTCTCTTCTCAACAAACTGCCCAATGAAACAACATTCCTTAATGATGACATCCAGCCAGAAAAATAAACGCTTAATATGACAGCTTCACGACATAGTCTGTAAAAGTGAAGACAGCCTCTGGCTAGTGACAATAACTGCATTGTCAGACCCGTGTTTCACAGCGGAACACTGACGGGATTACAGAGAGAACCATTTCAAGGCTCTCTCTGCTTTAATAATGACTCCCTGTCCTGAGAAACTTCACTTTCAAGGAGAATAAATCCTGGAGTAGCTCAGAATCTGATGGTCACTATGGCAACGCTGAAGCTTTCAGAGAAGCTCTCCTGGTGGAGGTTATATGTTGGACCTCACTTTGAGAGAGGATTGCGGTGGAGAGGTAATCAAAATGGCACTCACTGAAATCTAAAGTAAAATTATTGCCATCCAACAAAGTATTACTCTGTACACCATTAACCCAACCTATAAGAGGCATCTTGCAAAAGGAGCCCTAATAAATACTTATTCGTAGCACATTATCACCCAAAACTAGGAGCACTGAATTGGTATTGGAAGCCTCTCAGAAGTTGTTAGATGATACAGGCCAATTTTTAAAAAAACTGAACACTTCCAAAATGTATTAGAGATTGAATAGCCCTTTTCCAAAATGCTTGGGAAGAGAAGTGTTTTCAATTTCAAAGTTTTCAAATTTTAGGGTGTTGGCACGCAGTTTACCAGTTCAGCAGCTCTCATGTGAAATTCTGAAATATGAAGTGCTTCAGAATCCAAGGATTTGGGATGTGGGGGTTAGAGGTGGTCAAGCTGTACTCAGAAACCAGGTCATACGCAATCACATATGAGCCAGACTGTGAGTAGTCTTTTCAACACGCATGGAAGGTGTTAGGTTTTGGCCACACATTTATATATTTTAGGCGTTCAGTTCTTTTAAAATCAGTCTGCACCAAAGTATGGCTATGTAATCAGAGGTTCGATGATCTCACAAAATGAAATTTAGGTGGTATGCAAAATCCCTGAAGTTATATGCAAAAATACTGTTTAGTTGTGGATTGAAGTTATTTAATTTTATCCTATATTAAAATTTATCTTTATGTAATGGACAGTCAATACAAATTTTCATTTACAGAGTTTACAATGCCATGATAGTTACTTAATTATTGGGTTTGTCTTAAATGTAGTTCAGAATTGAATAAACTATGCATTTTACAACTCTACAGTAGATACACAAAAACTGTGCTAAAGGGCCAGGCGTAGTGGTGCGTGCCTGTAATCTCAGCACTTGAGAAGCTGAGCCAGGAGGATCGCTGTGAATTCAAGACCAGCCTGGGCTACACAGTGAGTTCCAGGTCAGTCTCAACTACATAGTGAGACACTGTCTCAAAAACAACAACAACAACAACAACAAAAAATGAAAACTATGTAAAAGCACACAACAAGCCTGATCACCCTGCAACATTCCCATTGATCTTGCTGTGGACCCAGGGCTACTGTTGGTTCATAGACAATCTCTCTCTAATTCACAGAAATTTTAAAAGGACCCTTGATGCCTCTCCTTTTGATGAGAACACAGCAGTTGTACAAAGGGGAGCGATTCTCTTTTTTGAGTGGTACTGGGGATTGAACCCAGAGCCTTTGCACGGAGCTACATCCTGGGTCCTTTTTTATTTTTTTATTTTGAGACAGGTTGCCCTAAGTTGTTAAATTATCCAGGCTGTGCTGGAACATGTGACCATCCTGCCTCAGCCTCCCACAGTGCTTGGATTATAGGCTTTACTTCATTTTTCTCACCTGCTGACCTGAGATCTCCCACAGCACTAAAACTCCCGTCACCTGGACAGCAAAGTGATCAAGTGGAAGCAATCTGGGCCCTGGAACAGAACCGCTGGGCCCTGATGTCTCTCTCACCTCTGTCATCTCAGGGAAGTTACTTTATCCTTCTTGGTCCGTTCCCATATCTGTAAATGGGAATAATATTAATTTGTTAGAGTGGTGCGAAGGTTTAAAAGGGTGGGAGTTGTAAAGGAGTGACGCTGAGCAGTTTCCTTATAACGGACTGTCACTATTTTTGGAGGCAGCATGAGTTCTAGAATCAGGTAGATTCTGATCCTGGCCCGGCCACTTACTGTGTCCCCTAACTATGGGTTACCTCTCTGTGTCTTGGCTTCTAGGTGCCATGAGGGTTGTGATCTCACCTGTTTTGTCTGCTGCTATGTCCTCAACATCAACACAGAGCCCGGTGCTGTGGTTGAAGGAACCAATGAATGACTAAAACAAAAATAGTTCCTCACCACAGTATGGCAAGAGTTATAAAAATATGCTCCAACTACTACTCCCAGGGACAATGCTTAGCACACAATAGGTAATTTTTTTATTTTTTATTTTTTGGCAGTACTGGGGATTGAACCTGGGTGCTCTACTGCAGAGCTGCACCCCCAGCCTTTTAATCTTTTGAGATAGGGTCTTACCATCTTCTCCAGGCTGGCCTTGAACTTCAATCCTCTAGCCCCAGCTTTCCAAGTAGCTGGGATTACAGGTGGGCTCCGCCATGCCCGGCTACAATAACTGAGTTTTCAAGGTCTAAACAAATGGATGCGAACTGGGTCATGGGCATCGCTATTTCCACGGTAATTACGGAAGTGGACAGTCAGAGGGCCTGGCTCCGTGGCTGGCCAGGTGACTCATATCGTCTAGTATTAAATGTGGTCTCCCTGCCACCGCAGGGCTGGACTGGGAACTGCCTGTGGCCCACAGTTAGCTTCCTTTCTGAGGGCCGGGGATTTGGCTCAGTGGCTCTGGCGCCTGCTTCACAAGCACAAGGACCCGAGTTCGATCCCCAGTACCAAAAAGAAAAAGAAAAATTTCCTTTCTAAGGAATCCAGTTACCCCTGAATGGCAGAGGCTCCTGATGATTCCCGTTTCTGGAGCACCCTCCCCTGTCATCTTCACCCTCTCACCACTGCTGCTTCCACGAAAGAGAAGAGATGAACGAGGAGCTCGTTGCCGAAGTACACATGGAAGACATCAGTGGAGAAACTACCAGATATGACCGCTGAATGTACAGAGAAATATCCAGGCTTTGGGCCCTGCTCTTTCTGCTCTTGTTTTCCTCAAAGGTCAGAAATAATTCATAGTCCAGAGCCATGAAATCCTCAAGTTAGCTGCCTCTCTGGGCAAAGTACTTGTTCATTTGCTTCTAAAAAATACATTTGTTGAAGGACGACTGTGTGAGTCCCTTCTAAGTGCTCGAGATATGAAGAACTAAGACTCCTCGCGTTCAGTGAGCTCGCGGTCTGGGGTGGGGAAATGGACGAACGCTAAAAAGTTTAAGACGGAGGAAGAGTGCTGTTGGCATAAAGCGCCAGGGGCCTGAGAGAACAATGAGAGAGCGTGCGAGTGAGAAGAGGTGGGTGAAGAGTTGGCCAGGGGAGTTTCCCCACACAAAGCTCACCTGAGCTAAGCCTTTAATTAATGAGGAGAGGAAGGTTGTGTTCCAATCCCGGGAGCAGATGTGCACAGGCCTATAGCTATTTTTTCCGGTCACTTATCCAGAACCCTTCTTGTTTTACCCTGCAAATCAATAGATTGCCTGGTCCTGATCACCTTTGATCTTGTGCTGGGGAAGTAAAAAAAGCACAGAGGGTGGGGTAGGCTGGGGATGCTGTTACCTTCATTATTCAGAATGACTACTTGGTATTGTAAACATGTTTCTGTAGTCAAAAAACTCAGATGGTATTCTTGTTTTCACAGGCAGTACTGTTATGTCAGGCAAACATTTTACCTCTAAGTCATTAATAAAATGATGTATAAGAGGTACCGTGAATTATAGACAGAATTCTAAAGAAATACACATATGGATTACAAACCTTGTTCCATCCTTTACTGAGTTTTCCTATTTTTAAAACGTGTTGTAACCTCAATTGAGTTGTATCGAAAACACTAAAAATTGTCAGCTGTATTCAAAATAATAGATTGCTTTGTGGTTACAGCAAAAAAAAAAAAAATAAAGAAAGAAAATGTGCTTATACCTATACAGTACAATGCAATTATAGGCAGCAAGATCACTTGCTCGTTTAATAAATATTTACAAGCATTTGGAATGGGAAGGACACAAAAATGGATAAAATATATATCACCAAGTACATCTATGTTAGGAACAGAACATAAAGGAGATTCCAAAAAGACCATAATGAGTGGAAAGGATACAGGGGAGTCCTTTTCCTTACTTTATCTCAAATACTTTCCTAACTGTGACCTTCCTGCTTCCTCCCATGGAGCCAAAGGGAGTCTGCCCTTGATCTTTGGTTATAGAAGCCAGTGGCACAGAAGCAGATAATGTGGAGAGATAGTTATGTTTACCCCGATTCGAATACTATACAAGGTGTTTGGGATCAGAACAACACATGGCACGCCACAAGCATGCATTAAACTTTATGTTTTTATGCATCCATTCTAAAAAATAAATTTTAATTAATAAAAAGAAAAAAGAAACAGGTTATGAAGGCCAAGAAAAGGGAGTTACCTACTGTCCTAGATATTTCTTCACTGTTATTACAACACAACAATAAGGAGGACTATGCAGAGGCAGGAAGGGGTGGTGGCAGGGTTGACAACAGCTGAAAGTCTAAAAACAAATGAATGCAGCTGGGCACATGCCTGTGATGACAGCACGCTAGGAGGCTGAAGCAGG